TGGTTTACTGAAGGAATTATGGAAAATGGGTAAAAGCACAAATATGAACCCACAAAATCTGTGCTAAACGCAATTTATGCAGCACAAAAACCCATCTTGTTTGTTGGTTCTATGTTGTGCAGATGCAGCAAGCTAATCTGGAATCTGGCATGTAGATATTCTGTATCGGCTACTTACAATGCAAACCGTGCACAATTACAGTGTGTCTGAATATATGTCCAGTTATAATGCTTTTTGATTTGTCATTGATCTTCAAATGATGAATAAAAGCTGTCATGATCAAAAGAAAATGTACACAAACATCTCCTTTAAATAAAGTCTGTTTACTTTCTGTTTATGCCCTGCTTACGGTAAATGTCAGTGTTAGGTACATTAAAAGCCATATTACTTCTGATGTATATGAAACCTGATCATGCCTGCCTGATAAACCTGAATAGAAAAACAATGCTGGTGCCAAACACAAACATGCTTTTAAATAAAAGAGAAGATAGAAAGAGAGAACGAAAGTGAGAGCAACAGCATCTCCTACAGTACTAGAAGTGTTGTCTTGTGGGGTTTGGTATGAAATCTGTGATGTAATCACAAGTGGCGAGTGGGTTCAGTAGATTTGAAGTGTGTAACGGCCCTGTCTAACCGCCCAGTAATGATTAAACTATTACCACAAAACTATGCGTGAGAGATTGAAAGGAAATTAAGAGGCTGGAGTTCAACCAGAAAGGTCATGGGGCTTACATGGAAGCAACAAAAAAACTAATTATGTTTCCCGGACCGCTTAGCAGAAAAAAATTTCAACTTAATTCTTCCACATTTAAATAATCTCAAATAATTAGTATTTTTGTTTTGTTTATTGCTGTACTCACTATGAGTCTCTCTCTCTCTTCTTATCTTACAGTACACACAGTGGAAACACCGCCTTCTCTATTAACATAGACAAAAGACCAATCAGCAAGAAAGGAAGCAGCACTTAGTTTTTAAATAGAATCAAAAGAGCATTTTCGTAACGCTTGCTGTTTGCAGCACTGGAAAAAATCAACAACCCCCTCCAAAGGTGAGACGAGGCTAACACTAGTGTGGGAGTCCCCATCACGACTGACAGCAAAACATAATTGAATTTCTGCCTTCTATGAGGATATAAAAGTATTTTTTTAAAACACTAAACCAGCAAGTTATTAATAATGCAAATAAAAACCTCTTTATTGGTACAAGATCAGAAAATATTTGTGGGGGGACACACATCCTCAAGTCATATTTACATTATGATTTACAGTATGACTGAGAAAGTAACAAAGCTTTTCTTGCTATTAACCTATCAAATCTAAGTATGAGACTTGGACCTGCAGGGATATTTTGGAGTAAAGAAAGCGATCATTCAAAGAACTGAATTAGCCTAATAGAAATTTAGCTGGTTTATCCACAAGCTTATTGCCACTTCATACTGCTGTGTTGCTTGCCAGAGGGTCTGTGCAAATAGCATTAATAGGATTCAGTGGGGCTAAATGTGATGTGTTTGGTCACGGTTGAGCGGGTTGATTCCTCGAGTGATTCCTTCACCACATCCTCTCTCGGGGAGAGAGAAATCAAATTTGTAGTGTATATATGTTTCGCTGCTCTGAGGTCGACAGTCTTAGTGTCACGCTTGAACATTCTTGAGTTAGTAGCCGAAGCTGAAGAGATAGCAGGGGGAAATACTGACCTGCTCAAACCGAGCTTCATCCTCGCAGTTTTCCAGCACCCGGGAGAAGAAGGAGAGACCTGCATGGAGAAAAACTAAGTTAAAGGTCAATATGGAGCATAGCATCAAAGCAGTGCTATATATAAGAAACATTGTGTAATATAATAAAGACTGCAATGTCAAATATTATAAATCTTAACAAGTAAAACTCTGTGGGTTCGTGTGTGTGTGTGAGTATGTATATATGTATGTATATATATATATATATATATAGCTCAGTTTGGATTTAGAATTAAATACATGAACACACCAACTTATGCACACACACACAAGCATACACAAACACTTGAACACAAGAGATATTGCACTTGAGCAATTCATTCATGTTTTCTGGCTGAGGCACACTGGTAGATATGTTTAAGAAAGGTAAATACTTAAACAATCATTACTTAGGGCCTCTGATACTAAAATAAACGCACAATACAATTCAATACAATGCTGCTTGTTCTCATTCTCTTCCCAGCCATCAATTTTTATAATGCAAATTCGCCACATATGGCAGAGAGAAATACCTTTTTGTTTTGTTTTGCTATTATAGTTTTATACAATCATACCATTGTCTATTGTTGTCTTGATTCTGTGTTGAACAATTGCACTGGTACAGGTCATGTCAAAAAGTTCTTAAATAATAAAATTAGTCTGAATTATGTCATTTTGAAATAAGTTATGTAATCTCAAAATACAGACAACAAAATTCTCTTAGTCTCAGAGAAACAAGCAGCATCTCATCTCAAACTCATTGCTATCTGCTGTTGTTCACATAGGAGCTTTTTCCCCAGGTAACATTTACATCTACCCTCTGTACACAGAGCTGTAGATCACAAAATGCAGAGCTGGTGAGGATTTTTTTTCTCATAAGTCATAATAGGAAAACAAGAATTGATAAAAGTGTGATGAGGAAGAGTTTTGAATTGTGCAGTACTGATGCCTTAATAAAGAGAGAACTGAGGGCAAAAATCACAAGGCTCACAACCTAGATTTAAAAACACTTTTCCTTGGTGACAATAACAAGAAGATATGGATATAAGCTCATATAGCATGCGTAAACTAGGCAACGAACTAATAAAAATTGATGGGCAACCTGTAAAGCAACAGAACAATCTTGAACAGTATTTTCAATGATGTACAGTCTTCACAAGGACTTTTCAAATTCCAACATAATCACATCTGAAAGTCTGAAAGCCAATATATTCATACATTCCATAATTTTCTATCTCTGCTGAAACATTTTTATTGAGATTTTTCATTGTTCTCAGATCCACTCGTTGGTACTCAATCTAAGTTATGCTACCCACAGAGAAACAGGACACAGCTCAGTAGAGCCCTTCCGCTCCAGACAGCCTAGATCACTGCACACTGGGGCTGCTGAAGATTAGGAGAACGCCAAAATGGGAGGGAAGGAAAGGGTAGCAGGAGAGCTGATAGTCATTGCCATCAGAGAACGTGGGGGGGGGGGATGTAACAACAGGACCATGCATCAAAATGACTTATTATTTGAAGTGTCTCAATCAAATTACAAAAAGAGCAGACCGTCACAGGACCATGCATCAAAATGACTTATTATTTGAAGTGTCTCAATCAAATTACAAAAAGAGCAGACCGTCACATTCTACATCAATTCTCTCAAAACATCCTTCTGTAAAAAGATTCCTATTAAAAATGGAAGATGTTTACTCCTTTCTCTTTTTTTATTAGCAATAAAATGTTGTTTGTCCTAGCTCATTTCTGCTCCATTTAACTAAGGCGATTCTGTAATATACCTTTTTATATGCTAGAAACACATAAAACTCCACACATATCTCTGGCTGTATTTGTCCCAACCCCTCTCTCTTACAAACATACACAGAGAGCATTTATGAAAAAGAAAATAATTGTGCAGATGAACAGTGAGCAACTGTCCAAGGTGCTGAAATACACAATACAGATGAAAAAATTAAAATATAAAGAGAAAGAGAGGAGAGAAACAGGAGAAAAAAGTCTTGTCATTCATATTCAGTGTCTTTAAAGCCACATTTACCTGACATGAAATCTAATGGATTGCTGAGGCAAGCCTCACAAGACAAGATGTAATGAGATAAAACAACCCAAAGTTTAAGCAAATTTGGTTCACTTTTCACAATTCACAACTTTATTCAGCTTTAATACTTCTGGGGACCTTGAAGACAGTTTTTGAAAAAGAATCCCAGCAGCATTGCTTGAAATTAACAATTAATTAAACAGTACTGCAGTGAAAATTGAGAGCCTACATATAATGAAACCAGCTCACGCTTGTGTATGAGGAAATAATGTAACTATCTATCTACCAGCAAGGGAGTTTTTAATCATCTAAAGCGATATTAAAAAAAACCTCGATGTTCTTTGATAAAGACATGCCGATTTAGAATAACTGTATTTCTACAACTTTTCATCAGAGCCTCACGTTACACACCACTGCATGATATATATAAAATGGGATCAATATTAAACCTACATATGTATATCACAAGATGCTTAATATACAGATGCACACATACTAAAACTCACTGGACATTAAAATTATTGCTCTATACCTCTGAAAGTCACTTTAGCGATGCGGTCCCCCTTTCCACGAAGCTCCGTGACAGTCTTCAGGTACACTACTAAAGCCATTTCAACTTAAAATGGAAAAAAAAATCAAAAGCCTAAAATAGAATAAAAATCAAAATGTTTCATCACAAAGATCGCGGATCTATCTTGAACAACGCTGCATAACTTTTTATAAAATCATGTCCTAACTGCTTTTATTCGTTACATAAAAACAAATGGAAAAAAAATCAAAAGCCTAAAATAGAATAAAAATGTTTCATCACAAAGATCGCGGATCTATCTTGAACAACGCTGCATAACTTTTTATAAAATCATGTCCTAACTGCTTTTATTCGTTACATAAAAACCGGAAAAATCCTCTTATGGTACAGGCTGCATCCTCTGTGCGCAATAACATGAAAAGAGTAATAAATAATTAAAGAGCTTTCATTTTCTCTCTCTTTACTATGCGCACATGTACACTCGTCAGATCCGCGCCGCACGAGCGCAATGTGATGACGGATAACGCCAGCAGGGGGCAGTCGCACACAGTCTAAACTCTTTCTCAGGGGCGGATTCTTGCAGAAACCAAATACGCCCCAAAAGCTTCTTACCAGATTGATCATTGTTCGAGGCAGAAGCATAGTTTTATATATTCTGTATAGAGTTAAACTGACAGATTTAGCTATTAATAAAAACGATTATGCTAGTCTATACTGAAAAAATGGTTGCCAGGCAACCTTTTGTTGTCTTATCTGCGGTGCAGGTCAGCTTTGACACGCAGTAGCTTATGAGCGGATAATATTCATAGCATTATTATCTACTCAGCCATGACTTTCAGAGGAAATGGTACTCCTATTACGCATAACAACACAGTATACATCCCATCGTCTCTGATGCCCGGGTAAAAACATAGCTTATTTCTTATTTTGTGTGCAGGGACAAAAGAATATTTGTCCCCTTGAATTGATTTTCATGAGTTAACGTTAAGTTTTGACATTCACGGAGTATTGTTCTTTTCAAACGATACAGAAAATGTGTGCTGTCATTTAATGTTAAATATATAAACCCATTAATTGATAGTGAATTGACATAAACTAGAATTAACAATTAATTATGGCTGTTACCATTACAATCTTACCATTTTACCATTTCTTTGGCATTTTGACCCTTGCTGTGATTCATTTCTAAACCTGGTGCAGGTAAATCATAAAACAATATTAGCCTACCAATATTGTATCAACTGTTAATTGTGCAATTGCTGCATCATTAAAAGGTACTGTGGACACATTCCCACTACTAAATTCCTGTATGGGGAGACTTTTGGCAATTCGTCCCTAAAGTACTTCCAAAACATCCGAGCTGCAATGATGGCCTCTAGCAAAAGCTCTTACAATAGTGTGCCTCTGAGCTCCCATACCCAAGACAGTATCTTACCCTACTGGGTCCGGAACAACATTGATTTCAAAAGGCAGAAGGAGATCAAGGACTTCAACATGGTACGAATGAGAATTAAGGTGTGATTGTGGATCATGTTCTAAACTACTCTCTTTTGTCTCACTGATTAGTCATGCTTATTTTGGACTTCTCTTTTCCCCAGTTGTCACAGAAGCACAGGGAAAATTACAAAGATAAGACTGGCACTGTGCAGCCTGTCAATTACTTTGTCATGCCAGAAAAAGAGAAAAAGGAGCTTGGAAGATCCCTCCAGAGTGAATGTAAGAAATGAACTTTACTAAGCCATCTCAGCTATTAATTAAAATAACTATTTTACATGTTATCTTTTAAGTGAAAACCAAGAATTAAGTATCTTCAGTGTCTGCCTATATGAAACATTTGAATATATGATATTTGTGTGTGTGTGTGTGTATGTGTGTGTGTGTGTGTGTGTGTGTGTGTGTGTGTGTGTGTGTGTGTGTGTGTGAATTATGTATATAATATTTAATTATATAATGGACCTTTTTCACATTTCCGGGTTTCTCAGCAGCGGAAGTCGTCATAGTTGGGTTAACTTGAATAGCAGTGAATGGGAGAGTACCACAAATATAATTTTTGCATTCCCATTTGCTCAAATAGCAAAAGAAAAACTCCACGATAGTGTTTTCATGACTTTCAATAAAAGGAAAAAAATTGAGAGAGACTGATAACGGCTGTCAGAAGAGAGAACAATGTCAAATTTACCGTCCCTCCCATAGACGCTGCATAAGAAACACCCTCGCATTCGCGTAAACTGTTTTTTTGTAATTTGATGCAAAGGTGATATAATTCAAAGAATAGTGTTATAAATGTAGATACATTTTTTTTTAAATACAAATGAAAAACTTTTGAGGATTTACGATGCTGATGACCGTTAAACGCGTCATCACAGTCTTGTGAAAAGGGTCCATTGTTTAAATAATTGATTGTTTATAATTAACACACATTAAGAAACGAAATAGGGCTAATTTTAAGTGTAATCTCTAAAAACTCGTCTTGGGCTCTCCTATTCCTACACCATCTCACACGGCTCTAATTGCCTCTTTCATGGTCCCCTGAGACAGTCAGAGACTATGGCGGTCCAGTGATTGTTTGTGATGGATTCTTATCTGCTGATGCATTACTCAGGGTTAACTGTACTTGGAGCTCTGCTGTCTCTAGGGGTTTTATGTTCAGTTATGTTCACATTTAGCTGCTGGGTAGTTTCTGGAGTCATAAAGAATTTATGTACGAGTGAAACTAGAGCTGTTGTTGTTGTTTTAAAATATTGTCTCCTTTTCTTTCCTTCTTGTCAGTTAATTAAAGACCATGCCATATCAGATGGAAGTAGCAGTCTGATGAAGTCTAATGGTGTCCACCACAAACAAGTCTGCCTCAAGGGATCACTAATTACATTTATTGTGTTTAAGAAATAAATGAGGAAAATATGTTGCTCTTTTTGTGCCTCTTGGATTATAATACATAATTTATGTAGTTGCATACATCCATAGGAATGTCTTTATAACATAATGTTTAAAGGCCAATCATATGATATGATAATGTTCCACTGGCTATTTGTTCTTTGCAGTGCATGGGTACCCTACACTTTAAAATCGTAGTTTAGACGTTGACCTATTTCATAAATAATTTATTTTAGAGGGTTATGTCTTCAGAGAAGCAGCTGAGACACATTAAATAAAAAAAAAAATAAAATAAAAATGGACTCAAATGTATTGCCTTGCAGAAGTTGATGAAAATTAAGCAAAAATAGCATAATTAAAAACATGCTGACTACAGTGAATCGCAGTAGGCAGGAGTTTAACCAATTAGAAAACAGCTTTCTGAGATGAGAGACTATATGTGTAAAAAATATAAAAGACTTACAGGACAATTTTTTAAGTAATAAAGCAAAATGGCACGTAATGTATTTAGACTTGGCTTTGTGAGAACGTCAATGGATGTTAAATGACAGAACTGGTATCATCTGAATCAGCAGGTAGGCCTACTCTTGGTTAATTTGACATAGGCCTATCTTTGTATTTTACGTGAATCTGCAGTTTGAGATAAGTTTCTAATTTCTAAACAACGTTCATGTGTAGCAGACAAATACGTGGATATTTATATTAGATCATGAGACAAAACTCAAATGTACAGATGAGATACAGATGTTGAACGAAACTAAACAAACTGAAAACCCATACTACCTCAACTGACGATAACTGCTGTTTGACTGTATTGTTCCTTCGTGGTAGTTTTCGTAGAAACGTTTTGGTTACTCTTTCACATACTTTTTGAAAACTGAGGGAGGTGGGTACACTGCAGTGGTACTAGCCTATCTAAATTGCGCTCATGCTCTTTGATTTTCTCGTCTTGTATAGTCCACAGAAATTTGTGGAGAACGCATATAGAATTTATTAACCATGATTTTAGAGCTGAATATAAATTACAATACTGATACTGAATAAACACAATAGGCTACTTATAACACAATTACGCTAATTAAGTAGGCCTATTAACATGTAGCTTACAGAATGAGGTTTGGGTAAACAGGCTATAAAAATAAACGGAGCACGATAAGTGAGTTCTACATCAGAGGAAGTGTGTTTCCAAAGATTTCCATCGCCTTGTTCTGAACATATTTGGGTATAGCCCCTAGTCCCATTCGTCCCCAGAAGAGGGAGACAACGTCTGAGAAAGAGCGCACAGACTGACGGTAGCGGGCAACTGAGCATCAGAGCATCCCATAGCCTTCCTTCCCTCAGTGTAGCGGATCGCCGTAATACTGAAGCACTATCTGCAATGTCTCCTGCACGGGCACGAGCTCTTCTCGGGCTCCTGATCACACTTTGCACCCAGAGCCCACTACTGTCGGGTAGGTCAATCTGCTTATCTCTATTTAAATAGTAGGCTAATTCACAAAATCAAACATTGTATTTTATTAGAATTATGTAGAATTGAAATTTAGAACTATTATAAAACTATAATTCGTTAAGTATATTTGTCTAGTATACTTGCCAGGGCTTTCTGTAATGACGCTATCATCTTGTACTGTAAAGATTATTATTTCATAAGCACTTATGACAAATAGCTCTATTGAATTAATCACCTGCTGTTTTTGAATCTGGAGGTCTAAGTCCTGTTTGTTTTATCACAGTGTGCGTGGAAACCATGTGCCAAACCTTTATTAAACATTTCAAGCAGCACTAATGCATAATGGGTGAGACAGTAGCCTAATTGAACATCTGAACCACAGGCAGGTGCACAAACTTCAAAAAGTGTACTTGCTTTGCTTTAAGTTTTTAAAGAACATTCAAAACGTTTTATTTTTTAACTATTTGAATCGGTTTCAAAAAGGTGATCATAGAAGTATGACATCTAGGCCTATATCTCTCTCTCTCTGTGTGTGTGTGTGTGTGTGTGTGTGTGTGTGTGTGTGTGTGAGAGAGAGAGAGTGTACACATATATAATTGAAATGCTTACTGTAGAACTTCTTAAACTGATGATGGTGATGTCACCTTTGTAGTTAAATTCTGTAGCTAATTTAGTAGAGGTTGCCAGGAGTGCACAACAAACACAGAATATTAATTTCTGTAGCCAACTGTTAAATAAGATATTTGAATGATGCATATATAACAAAATATGACCAAATTTGGATTCCCAATTGGATTTCCAGTTGGATTCCTGATACAGATAGATAGATAGATAGATAGATAGATAGATAGACAGACAGACAGACAGACAGACAGATAGATAGATAGATAGATAGATAGATAGATAGA